CTTCGGCTCATCGGGGTAACGGCCACTCTCGTCCGGCAGTACTTCGAAGCACCAAGGTACGGCATCTACACGGAAACCAGCAACACCGCGATCCAGCCAGTAAGTAAGCACGCGCTTCATTTGCGCGACTACGGCGGGGTTCCGGTAGTTCAAGTCCGGTTGTTTGACCGCGAATTGATGGAGATAATATTGTTGACGTTCCTCGTTCCATTCCCAGGCGGAACCACGAAAAGCTTGGAGCTATAACAAGAATATTACATTTTGTAATCCAATTTACATAACATAACTGCGAATTTTACAACGACGTAAAACTCACCCAATTACTCGGTGGTACACGCACACCGCTTTCATTTGTATAGCCATCGTGCCACACGTAGTAGTCTTCGTAGCCACGCTCACGACGCACTGACTTCTTAAACCATTCGTTCTCATCACTAGAGTGATTCGGCACGAAATCCAAAATCACTTTCAGTCCAAGTCTATTTGCCTCCTGCACAAGGTTGTCGAAGTCATTCAACGTACCATACTCGGATTGTATATCGAAAAAATCAGCAATGTCGTAGCCAAAATCCGCCATTGGTGAAGTGTAGATTGGCGAAAGCCAAACAGCAGTAACGCCCAAATCCTTCAAATAGTTTAACCGCGAAGTGATACCGGCAAGGTCGCCAATACCATCACCATTGGAGTCCATAAAGGAGCGCGGATAAATTTGGTAGAACTGTGCCGACTGCCACCACTCACGGGAGTCCGCAGCCGACTGCCTAACCGTGCCATCACAGGCAAAAGAAGGCTGTTGGCTAAATGCTAGAAGCAAAACTAGCGAAATTATTTTTCGCATTTTCAAAAGGAAGCACGCTTGTGACACAAACCAGATGGCGATTGAAAAGATACTGTCTAAAGTTAAATCGGAATCCCTTATTTAAAGCCTTCGACTGACAAATGCAAAATCCGTTAACAGCCGGCTCTCGTGTTTAATTTAAGAGCTTTTAGATTCTTATCTCGTAGTTGTTGTGTAGCAGCGTTGGAAATTTTTCAAACTTACTCAAGTAGTTGATAAACAGTAGTTGTTTATTACAAATTCACTTAAAACAAAAGGCTTGTTTGCACCCCAACAGATCTCAAGTGATCCCTGGCGGTGGTTCGAGTGGACTCTAATACTCAGCTGTCTGTTTTAGAAACAAATAATCGAGATAACTTTTTAATAGATAAGTAGATACCTAAGGAGGCGTCTTTATCAGCAATTCAAGAAATTAATTTTATTCACTCGCAATATTGCATAGTATTTATGAGCCAAATAGATGCTTAGAACTAACAACATTCTTACTACAATACATAAATTTAAAGCTTATCAGTACAAAAACATTGACATTTAGATGTATCTCAGACTTTTAGAAACAAACCCGCTTCTCTAAATTTTCTCATTTTTTGGCATGTAATAAGCAAAGTAACCCACTGTAGTGGTCAATTTGGTGGCAGAACGCAACACAACGGCTTCCTTTGGTAATATTTGAATGCCCGTCGACTTTAGAGTGTCACTGAAAAGTCAATAAAAATGCGAATGTAAATATGTAATAATAATATTTCAGAAATGTCCCGCTCTTCAATATTTACCCCCTCTTCGCTTTGCTTTTCTCGGTAACAATAATATATTCAAGCTCATCTGGTATATTATCGAACGTGCGCTTTAAATCCACTTCCTCCGTGGAATCATACAGATTCATTAGCAAAACGTATGTGTAATCGTTGAGCAGCATGCTATGGAGCAGAAATATAAATATTTAACAAGTTTTTATATTAATTCAATATCACAACAACTCACCGCTTGACGCCTAAAACATTTTGTGTCACAGCCTTTACCTCCACACTACCGTGACGCAATGTAGATTCATTTCGCAAAGCATGCAGTTGTTTGTAGATATTCAAGTGGCTCAACGATGCATCGCGCTCTCGTAACACGTTCACCGTTTTGTAGTCGTCAGCGACAGGCAGCCAAGTCTTTTTAGCTGTGCTGAAACCGGCATTCTGAGCATTACTCCACTGAATAGGTGTACGTTCGGGATCACGCGAGAACCTTTCATAGATATCCGGATTGGTGTGACAAGCTGAGGGATCCACAGTATCATTCCACGAGATCCATACGTCCGTCATGCCGATCTCTTCGCCATAATATGAAACGCTAACACCAGGCAGAATATTCGTCAGCATGTTCAACATGTCAATACGATCAGCGCCGAGACGAGAGCCAACGCGATTTTGATCATGATTTCCAATCTGGAAAGGAGCAACAATTAATAAAGATATTTTCAGTTCATCAAGTGTACCCAGCTTACCACCCAATTGGCTGTACGTCCTTCTGGCATGCTCTTCAACCAAGTATTTACAGTCTCCGCAAAGTGGTAGGCATCGGAGTCATTTGACAGCCAATTGATCATGAGAAAATTAAACGGTATCTGCGCACCCTCTGCCGTGTCATTTCCATAATACTTCACCACTACGTCGATAGGTGAATATGCTTCAGTTAGCATAACACGTTCGTCGCCACCATTCTCTTTCTGAAATTTGTCCAAAACGCGACGCCATTCATACACTAAGTCCAATGTCTCCGGCTGATCCACGGTGTAGATGTGTTTAACATAATTGTAGTCATCCGGATCGATAACCCAGTCATTGCGTGGCTCATCTGGCCAATTGCCATTTGCATCGGGCGCTATTTCAAATGCAAACGGCACCGCATCGATGCGAAAACCGGCGACGCCCCGTCTTAACCAAAACCGCAATACGTCCTATTAGTAACCGCGAAATAAAGAATTATATTAATAAAAAGAACGGGGTACGTTAAAGTACATGCTCACACTCATAGCAGCGCGCACTTTCGGATTGCGATAGTTCAAGTCCGGCTGCTTACTCAGAAATTGATGCAGATAGTACTCTTTGCGGATTTCATGCCACTGCCATGCGGAGCCACGAAATACGCTCATCCAATTCGTTGGCGGCAGACGCGTGCCATTAACCAGACGCCCCGGATGCCAAACATAAAAGTCTTTAAAGTCCTTGTCGCCTGCGGCCGATTTTTTGAACCATTCATGTTCATCGCTCGAATGATTCGGCACGAAGTCCAATATTATTTTCACACCCACTTCACGTGATTTGGCGATCAACGCGTCGAAATCATCGAGTGTACCGAAAATAGGATCAATGTCGGTAAAATTGGCGACATCATAACCGAAATCCGCCATTGGCGAATTATAGATAGGAGATATCCATGTCGCTGCAATACCGATCTCTTTTAGGTAGGGTAGCTGCTCTGCGATGCCTGCAAGTTATAGTATTTTGCGTTCAGTTTCTTAACTGCTGGCAACTAAATTTCTAAGTTTTTGCGCATTTTCTTGTAATTCAATTTTTCAATACATGGACTCACCCTTCAGATCACCCACCCCGTCGCCATTGCTGTCTTTAAATGACCTTGGGTAAATTTGATAGAACGCCGCCGATTGCCACCACTTCTGCGAAGCATTCACCTTCGCCGCAGCGCTATGTTTATCCCACGCGATAAAATCAAAATGCGCATGATAATTTGGATAGCCGCCAGCGCTCACAATGGTGACGCCACTACAAATTGACACTAATAGAAATAACGATAGACGCCTAAGCATCATTTTGGTTTAGCATTCAGTTCTACTTTTGCGTATAGCGATTGCCTTCCAGTTTCAAAAGCAACCATTAGCTTCAGTTCTTATTATTAGAAGGCTCAAGCGAACCACTCTCACTTTAAAGATACACGGACGAGCACTCCAACCGAACTAATGCAACGGCATAAGTAAATGTTCAGTTGAGCTCGTTAAATTAAAAGACGCACCGATAAGAAAATAAATTGCAAGTTCTCTGCTAATTAATTATGCTCACATCTCTCCCTTTGACATGAAGCACAGAGAGCGCGCAATTATTTTTTGCGTTGCCCTCTTCGTTTTATCTTTATTTATAGCTGAATCAATTCCATCTACTTTACTAGTGGAATATTGTAGCCTCTCCGTTGATCTCATAATGGCAAATAAACAAATAACCGACGTTTCGCCCTTCCGTACTTACCGTTCGTATTAAACAAAATTTGTCAAAAGTTATGCCCGTAGTGGCAACGTAGAAATCAGTTGTTCTCTTTTGTTTTCATTTAGTTTATTAGTTATAATTTTTCATACTTTAAAAGCTCAAAACTAAAATTCAACTATTAAAAGTGGTCTGCCTATTTATAAATATATGTATTCGACTGTGATTTTGAGTTAGTTTAATTATTTTTCAAATATATTCAAGTTTATTTTTGCAATCAGATGACTTGTTTCTACGGGAAAAATACAATATTCTCGGATATCCTACGGTGGTGTGTTCATTTATATTGCGCTCTCATAAGACAGGACGTATCAGCTGATTCGGCCTACGGTGTTGCGTCGGTGACTGTTTCCAGCATTACGTACTTCTCTGCGTCCGTCGTATGCTTGTGTGCCCCTTTGATTGATTTGTAATTGTAAAGTGAACTCGTTGATAACGCGAACGACCACTTCTTGTACGGCTTCACGGTTTGTTTCCTATACCATCAACCAGCTGTGGCGAATTCACAAGTTCAGCTGATAATCAGCTGCTGGCAATGCCCTTTATTATTTAAGTAGTACAGTGACTCAGTATTGATTGCTACCCAAGCACATAGTGCCTGATAGAGAAGAAACATTAACAAAGTGATAAAGAGTAAATGAAAAAAAAAACTGCTAAAGTACACTTACCCGCACATCCTCGCGAATGATTGGGCTTTAAATCTAAAATTAGTTTCAAATCCAATTCATGCGCCTTGGCCAACGTATTGTCGAAATCCTCCATTGTGCCGAAAACCGGATAAATTTTCATATCCCATGATCAGCCATCGGTGAATCATACATGGGAGAAATCCAAGCTGCTGTTACACCAATTTCCTTAAAATACGCCAGCCGTGAGGTGATGCCATTCAAATCACAATGTTTATCACAAAAGCAAATGTTTTTAAGAATCAAATTACTTTTGATTAACTTGAATATTTGGCTTTTGCAAGGTCTCTTTTAAGTCTCCAATCATAATCTCGAGTGTTTGCCGGTGTAATTGATAATCGCTCAGTAGTCGCTTAAAAATTTTTTGTGCCGCTATAGTGGTAACCTTCGTAATGTCGTTTGGCTCATTGCTCAATAAAGCTAGTTAAGAGCTTCTGGCTTGTTAAAATTTGGAGTGTCGGGTTAAAATTTAATTAAAAGCAGAAAGAAAATTGATTTTAATAGAAAGACATATGTCTGTAGGTATTTATGTATACAATAAAATTAAATTTTTGATCCATGGATATGAAAATGTCGACGACAAATTGCAATTCCATGGTTGTTCGACCCCATAATAGTGTCATATGCTATTAGTACATAAATTATCTAAGGAAATACATCAAAATAAATGTAAGTTACTATTTTTCTCAATGGAGGATAAACTAACAAAAAGAAACTGTTAAAAACTAGAAAAAATTTAAGGAACTTTAGAAATTCAAACTGAAACACCCCCTGATACAATTTTCAATATCATGGAACAAAGACATGGGAAATAAAATATTTTTACATATTATTGAATTATTCAATAACATTTAATAATACAACATAATTGTTATTAATTAATTTTAAAAGTTTCATAGTTCATAGCAATCAAAATTACAGCGATACTTCATGTGTTTTGTCAATTGGTCGGGGTCACTTTTAATGATATATAATATCTACACATCAACAGTATCTGTGATCCAAATTGATAGTTTATAAGTACTTAATTTTATGCCGACCAGCGTAAGACGACCGCCTCATAAGGCATTAAATAAATTCTTCCGCTTAAATCAATCCTGTCACTGCAAGAAAAAAACCCATATTTAAATGAGAAAAAAAAGAAATCGTGTCTGCCAAATGGCACTTACCCGTATCTGTGTGGTGAATAAGAGTTAAGCAATACGTACTCCATTGTTTTGTTGGTCAAACCCTCAAAATATTCTATTTGGTTACCTAAATTGGCAAGCACACGATATTCCTCACGATCGACCGCGGTTCTAGAAGAAAATACTTTACTCAGGTGGGCTTTTTAAATACCTCATTTATATCAACACACCTCACAACCTGGAAAACTTGCTTTGCCAGAGCGCCATAAGAGAAGCCACCCTCCTCCTTGAACGCCTTAAAGGCAGCAGTTTTCTTAAGCGCCGTCATGCCCTTGAATATCTGCAAGCTGCTACGCGCAACACCTCGTTGAACTTGTACATTTAAATATTTGTAGTTGGGATTGACGGGCAGCCAAGTTGAGTTGCCTGTGCTGAAGCCGGCGTTTTTCGATCCGTTCCACTGCATCGGTGTGCGCTCTGGATCACGAAAGTCGCACTCTTTAGTGCAGTCGATTTCTCCATCAGGCATTCCGATCTCTTCGCCCTTAAAATAATTCATTATCATTGCAGAGTCACCGTTATATTAAAATTCCCACGTACGTAATAAGTAACCGATGTACCGGGCAATGCATGTATTATCATAGTCATCGAATCCACTTTGCTCTGACCCATACGTGTTGGTAAGCGACCATTGTCATGATTGTTTGCTACCCAATTGGCCATTTTATGTCGGGTCCATATGACATCCATCCAATCGCTAACTTCTGCTTCAATGTCCTCCGCACTCGAGTTTTCATCCAGTGACACGAAATTAAAATTCATTGGCAACTGACCACCGACCTTAGTACCATTAGAAATATATCCGCTCAAAACCTCGACAGGAGAATATGACTCAATAACCATAGCTCTGAATAGTAAAAGTTTACATTATAATATTTGTATATTGTAAATGATCCAGGTCTCACCTTGTATCTCCACCATTAAGTCTCTGATATTCATCTAGATATTCGCGCCATTCGTATATAATTTCCGTACTCCCCCATTGATCACGGGTATATATGTACCTTTCATACCCTGTAGCCCAGAGTGGTTCATCTGGATATGTGCCATTATCGAAACGCTTTTCAACTAAAAAGTTCGTAGCATCCATGCGAAAGCCGTCTACACCACGATCAAGCCAAAATTTCATCACTTCCATCATACGCTCACGCACCAAGGTATTAGTGAAGTTCAAATCCGGTTGCTTCGCGAGAAACTGATGCAAATAGTACTGTTGGCGTTCTTCAACCCAGGTCCATGCGGCACCACTGAAAACCGCCCGCTATAAAATATTATAGTAAATAAGTCTAAGCGTAAGCTAATTACAGAATATCCTGTATACGAACCCAATTACTTGGTGGTACACGCTCGCCCGTTTGTGGGTCAATTTTGCCATCATCCCACATGTAGAAATCGTCATAGCCATCTTCGCGACGTATCGACTTCTGAAACCACTCACACTCGTCACTCGAATGATTGGGCACAAAATCTAATATGAGTTTCAAATCCAATTCATGCGCCTTGGCCAACAGATTGTCGAAATCCTCCATTGTGCCGAAAACCGGATAGATTTTCGTAAAATTCGCGATATCATAGCCCATATCAGCCATGGGTGAATCATATATGGGAGAAATCCAAGCTGCTGTTACACCAATTTCCTTAAAATATGCCAGCCGTGAGGTGATGCCATTCAAATCGCCTATACCATCGCCATCGGTGTCCATAAATGAACGCGGATAAATGTGATAAAGGGTGGCGGACTCCCACCAATCAACTGTGTCGGTGGCAGTAGCGCCCAAGGAGCAAAGAAGCAGAGCCGCTAATAACCGTAATAAACCAGACGACATTTCGATAATTACAACATACTCCCCTAAGAACTAGCGGCTATTTATACCGGTTGGTAGTTGGAGATTAAAGTTTCAGCTGTTTCAATAATTTAAACAAAAAGACTACCAAAATCTTATCAAACGGCCGATTTGATCCGTCTAAGTCTACCATAGACTGGATGAGCACCACTATATGCATAATCACAAACGCACGTATGAGATAAAGGGAACAAGGTATGTGCATGCATAATTTTTATACTCTCGCAACCTGTTGCTACAGAGTATAATAGTTTTGTTCACCTAACGGTTGTTTGTATCACCTAAAACTAATCGAGTTAGATATAGGGTTATATATATATAAATGATCAGGATGAAGAAACGAGTTGAAATCCAGGTGACTGTCTGTCCGTCTGTCCGTCCGTGCAAGCTGTAACTTGAGTAAAAATTGAGATATCTTTATGAAACTTGGTAGACATGTTTCTTGGTACCGTGAGACGATTGGTATTGCAGATGGGCGTAATCGGACCACTGCCACGCCCACAAAACGCCATTAATCAAAATCAAATAAATTGCCATAACTAAGCTCCGCAATAAGATACAAGACTGTTATTTGGTACACATCATCACATTAGGGAGTGGCATCTGCAGTTAAAATTTTTTTTTTTAAAGTGGGCGTGGTCCCGCCTCTAATAGGTTTAATGTGCATATCTCCTAAACCGCTAATGCTATACTAACAAAATTCACTGGAAGCAAATGTTTTTAGAACCTCTACCTACAGTGTGAAAATAGTTGAAATCGAGTTGCAACTTCGCCCACTCCCCATATAACGGTACTGTTAAAAACTACTAAAAGCGCGATAAATCAAGCACTAAACACGCCAGAGACATTAAATTTTATCTCTGGGATGGTATGAGATGACTTTATAGGAACCGCGTGCCACAGCCCACTTTTAGGTGAAAGCCCATATCTTGGGATCTGCTTAACCGATTTCAACCAAATTCGGTGCATAACGTTCTTTTCATATTTCTATGTTATTTTGCGAAAATGGGCGAAATCAGCCTACAACCACGCCTATTTCCCATATAACACCATTTTTAATTCCATCTGATTCTTTCACTTTCCACTATGCATATCAAGCAACAGTGATTATATCGAGGTAAAACTTTGCGTGAATAATACGTTTAAAGTATGCCACCTTGTGACAAAAATTGTCTAAATCGAACCAAAACTGTTTAAGCCCCTAAGTACTAAATATGTGGACCCCAGTGCCTATAGTTGACCTTCTACCGAAAATATCAGTCAATCCACAAAGAAATCTCAAACGAGTATACTATTTGACTTTGGGAGAGTATAAAATGTTCGGTTACATCCGAACTTAGCGCTTCCTTACTTGTTTAAGATAGGTATGTTATATTTGTATCAAGTCTATACATATATGCAGTATTTCGATCTCATTAACGATTAGGGAAAAATATCTTTATTATGGCTGTATAAATTTTTGAGTATGGCCTTATCGCTTTATCTATAATAGGACGGTCTCAAATCTACCGCCTGAAATCACCAAAATGTTCCACATAAACAACTAGTTTAATAATCAAAATACTTTTGCTAGTATTTCAATGAAACCCAGAAACTAAGCTAATTAGCGGTTAGATAATTCTTATAGCTACAAGTTTATCCTGAATAATTTTAGGTATTATTTTTTGTTTTATCATATATCCGGCTGCTTTTAAACGTTTCGAAATGGCTGCTTGTTAAGAGTCCCTTAAATATTCTGGAAGATCTTTTTGTGTTTAGCAATAAGCTTCATCGAATAATGCGTTAAGTTTCTCATCTTCAAACTTTTTTGGCAGCTGGGCCATTCTTCAACTTCCAAAAAAAAGCACCACTTTTAAATCGTGCTGGTACGGTCACTCAGAGCACGATGACTTTCGACTGAGGTTTTCTTCATATTAAAGTAATAAATTTCGAATGAATGGCATAACTGAAAAGACGTACCAGACGTATTTTTCATTAGTATCATTTTTCCCAAACCAAATGTACATGCAAATGAAGGGATTCTTTGCCACTAACTATCTACTTTCTAGCATTCACATAAAAAATTCAAAACTAACGAAGTTATTCTCATAAAATACCAACGTTGCATTTTCAGCAATGTTATAAAGCGCCTATATTAGCAGAGAACGTAAATGAATATTTATTTACGTTCTCTGCTGATATTCATATACGTTCTCTGGTGGCACTAAAACAGAGAACGTATATGAATTCATATACGTTCTCTGACTAAAACGCCTGTTGAGCCGCACTGCGACAAAGCGATAAAAAATGAGTGCAGACTGCAAATGAAATACCCTAAAAATATGCAATGTTTAACTAAAGCATCAACTATCGGTGCTAAATTTAATTGTATAGGGTGAATGAGGAAAAAACAAACTAAATAATCGAAAATCATATTAGGAGCGAACAAGGTGGTTTAGACCAATTTCATTCATTTCATTACATTCAGCGTTAAACCAGTTTACAGTTAGATGAAAAGTCTATTGGGACTGATTGCATTCATTTTTTACATTACTCAAGTATACTTGTGAAGATGTTTCCACGTAATTATACGTATTATATGGGCTGGCGTATTTCTTGGACCGACCTCTTTTTGGAATTAAGCTATAGGGTATACAATAGAGTGGAGCTAAAGATTTTTTTTTTTTGCTTAGTCTGAGCTTTTGCTTTTGTAAATTTTT